TAAAGATAGATGACTTTTGACAGTTTCTTATTTGAATATAATTGTCTATCATGTTATGCAATGCAGATTTGACAAAATTATAAATAAGGAGATTCCTTCCAAAGTGGTTTATGAGGATGCCAAGGTAGGTAGTTCATTTTTTATAATTGCGATCATACTATACTTCCATTTCTCATGCTAGATAAGCTTCTGTGTAAATTTGTCTCATGCCAAGATGTGCACTGTTGAACAGGCACCGAAGATTCTGTGCGTGAATAATTTATTTGATATATCTTTGTTTTTTTTTTGTGAGGGTTAAAATCATAGTCTAATGATGTATTTGTAATTTTTTGTTTATCTTATTACTAAGTAGATTTGTTCAGACATAATGGTCTTGGGATTTATTTAATGGTTTCAATTTTGAGTAATTGAAATTAAGTGTATCCACATTTATTATAAACTTTTATTTTATTTTATTAGTTTTCAGTTTGAGTCTGGTTGACGTTTCTTTTATGTGATTTCCGGGTACTTCACACGCGCGCGCGCACACACACAACTAGGTTTAGTTTGGTGGTAACAATGCATGTATAAACATAGTTGGAGTCAAATATATGATGGGTTTTTACTTTCTAACATATACCTGTGTTATGATCTGATAATACAACAAACTCCTCACATTATGCTTATTCAAAATGAAGCTCAGTTTTCATAAAATAGTGCAGAAAAGTACTCATCAAACGTTTAATGAACTGACAAGTTTGCAAATAGCTCCTCAATGAATAGTTTTCTATAATTTTCTTGTGAAGAGGAGGATTATATGGCATAACCAGAACAGAAGAATTTCTTTTATCATTTTCATAACGAGCAAAATGCTTATACTAAATCTTCATCTGTTAAGGAGGGTTTACATGCAAACTTATACAATGATAGGACTTAAGGAAATTTTTAAATTTGAACAATGCACTAAAAAAACTTGAAGAGTATTTATGTAAGGTTTTGAAACAAACTGAGGGATATACATTATGCATGGAAGTCAAAACACAAATGTAACAACTAGGAGGGTCATTTGTGGAACTACCTTCTCTTGGCAGTTAGAAAAGTATGCAACTTTTTGCATGCCTGAAATATATGTGCGGAAATATTACTTATTTATTTAATGATGAAGATCGAGTTGTCTTCTCCCTTCCATAAGCAATACTGCACACATGGCAATTGGAGAAGTATATAAGACATGGTCACTGATTATATAAATTACAAGTTCTGTAGAGCCAAATATGTTGTTCAGTAATTTTATGGTAAGGACCGACATAATTCAAAAAGAAACCAACATGAAGGAAAGATGATTTATGATGCCTTTCCCTTAGAAAATCCCAAAGGTAACAGATGAAGAAAAACAAGAAACAAGGTTGTCAAAACTTATTTTAGTACTAGAATATGATTTTAGTAGAATGTTTTGTGTTCGGCAACTGTTAGTTAGGAATTTCAATTGATTTTGGAATCTTTTAGAACCTAATTATTAGGAAGGCTTTTATTTTAGTATGATTAGAATTCTTCCTTATTTTGTTTCTTGGTGATTAAGTTTTCTAGATCTATACAAAAACTTGTTTTTCTGTAATAAAGTTTGTGATGATGTTCATGAAAACTTTATGATTTCTTTAGCTTGTGTGACGAAATATTGATTGTTCAACCACATGTTTTGAAGGTGTGAATTGATTCAGTCATGAGGCCATTTGGTTCCGCTGTGAGGCCAAAATCTTAAATTTGTACTTTTTATTTCCCGTACCTTACCAAAAGGAAGCATGACATTAGTTGCACAATCTTTTAAAAGTATTGTACATGTAGTTAAGGTTCCAGTCGTTGAATAATTGACATTCATTCAGCAACTTGATTCTCTGATCAAAGTGTAGACTAATTTTTTTTCCACTTGTCTTAACAATCTGAGTCTTTTCTCTAACTCATCTAAGCCATGAGGTAAATATGAAGTTCCTATTTATTTCATCTGTCTCTATTTATTTTATACAGTCATATGATTACATATATCCTGGTAGCTTGTTCCACGTTAGATGTTAGTTTGAAAAGTTCCCCTACTGCTAAGATGTGGTCTAGAAATGGATGGATATGCTTTCAGGTGACACTGTTCTCTGCTGCCTGCAGAAATTATGTTTTGACTATGTAATCTCCATTTCCAGCCCACTACAGAATCTTTTAGTTTTTTGTCCGGTTAAGCTTTTCATCAGATGTAATACTTATGAAGTTTTAATAGGAAAGAGAAGAGAGAATTTAAAGGAGAACTTATCATTTAATATTATCCAATGTATTTTCATTTTATTTCTTTGTCCATTCTCTTTTTAGGAATTGAATGGCTGGTGGGGATTTTAGTCCCATAACTTCACCTTTTAATATGTTTTAATAGTCTTGTGGTTTTAGATCTCAAAAGCTATAAATTTTTTTCCAGGTTTAGATATAAGGTTGCTCGTCAAGGAGAATTTGATTGACCAATGCAGTTTGGAATGTTTTCAAATCATAAAAATATTTTATTAATCTTTTTCTTGAACCATAACTAGCCGGAAATGTCCTGTAATTGTGTTCCTCACTTCACAATGGAAAACCATGTGTACTTAGCAGTGTATACCAACAGGGGAAGCTCTAAAGTTTAAAACCTCCTCTAGTTTTGAGATTTTTATCAATGGGGAGATTGCTTAATGTTCATAATAATAACATGGTGCATGTTTCAAACTGTCCGCATATATAATTTAGAGTCAATGATTTTGAAGAAAGTAACTATTAAGGTTAAATTCTTTTTGATATGGCATGTTATATTATTTGTTCAACAGGCTCTTGCATTTAGAGATATATCTCCCCAAGCTCCTACGCACATCATAATCATTCCCAAAGTTAAAGATGGATTGACAAGGCTTGCGAAGGTATTGTGGTTACTCACTTTATATGCTAGGATCGGTTAATGTTTATAGCATCTTTCTGTTTCTTCCCGAATTTTATTGATAGTGAAGGAACATGTTAAATTATTTTTTTTTTTGAGGAATTAACTTTTTGATCTTTTTTTATTTTATTTTAAGGAATGAATAGTTTAGGTGCTACAATGAAGAGCTATCGAAAGGGGCTCCTAAGGAATGAATTTCCTTGAAACAAGAAAGAAATGAGCTAAGAAGAAAAAATATGTTAAAATGATTAGTAGGTAACATTGTCAATGGTCTGTCTGCTGGTCACTGGTGCAAGCGGAATCAAAAATATCACTGTTTTAAAACACCTCCGCCTAATCCGCTTAGGCGTATGCCTAGGTCTAGGCGGTACCTAGGTCGCCTAACTAGCGCCTAGGCCTAGGGGCTACCTAGGCCGCCTAACTAGCGCCTAGCGCCTAGGCGGTATTTAGGCTGCCCACCTAGATTTTACGAGCGTTTAGGGGAGCATTGTCTGCTCATTTCTTGATTGTGATTTTATGTGTCATAGCCTACACGTCCTCCAAACTCCATTAACCTCCAAATATGAACACCTCCACTACCTCCTCCGACCTTCAGCAAAACCTCATCGACCACCACTTAAATGAAGAAAGAAAAAAAACGCCCAGAAACCGCTTAGGCGCCCGCCTAGGCGACTAAGCACTGGGCGCCATGTCCGACGCCTAGAAGCGCTCAGCGTTTAATGTAACATTGAAAAATATTATAGAGGGAGGGTTGTGTAGTTCACCTAAATATTTGTTTTCTGGGAGAAATACGTAAAAATGCTAGAGGGGATTTATGTGGTTCTTCTGAAATGTGGGGCTTAAAAGATTTTGAACTGAATCTGTAAATTGAAAGGGAAGAAAGTTGGTTCTCTTAAGGTATGTATTGCCTGAAAATGTGAGTGTTAGCAATTGCAAAACTTATATTTCAATAGCGATGGTAGATTAAGCAAGATACATCTGTATGCTGAGAAATGCTCTGATACTTGGTAGATACATGTTTGGTATTCTGCTTGACATGACCTAAGATATATAGTATATCCCACAAAAGGCTTAACCATGCTTGAAAAGGTATATCTGATGCTTGAGTTGTGGGGATTGAATTCAATCTGATTTCTCCAGAACAGTTATATAGTTTCCTCCTTTTTTTTTGGTAAAAGAAAAAAAATTTAGTTCACTCACCAAGTAAGAAGTTTATGTACATCAAGGACTCAGTGAAAAACTGAGTTACACAAATCATAAAAGAAATTTACGAAGATTCTTACAAAGATTTAAACCAATCCTTTACTACATCATCCACAGAGGTATTGAGAACAGCAGTTAAAACTGAGATTGTGATATCCCTGATCAAAGCTTCACAACCTCTTGCCTCATGCATGATTATAAGTTTGTTCCTTTCTTGCCAAAGATAGTAAACTGTTTCAAGAAGAACAAGCCTTTTTCAAATGCTTTCCATTCCTTGCAGCCTAGAAGTGTGGCAGTTGGCAATGAGATCCCATCTGCAAGCTTTCCAATTAAATTTCATCCAGTCCATAATAGCATTTGAAACAACCTGAGAATATGAGCAGCTAAAAAATAGATGTTGGTGACTTTCCATTCGAAACAACCTGAGAATGCAAGTTTTTCAAATGCTTTCCATTACTCGCAGGCTAGAAGTGTGGCAGTTGGCAATGAGATCCCATCTGCAAGCTTTCCACTTAAATTTCATCCAGTCCATAATGGCGTTCGAAACAACCTTAAATTTAAGTTGAACTTCTTCCAAACACCATAGATTGTATTTATAAACAAAAGAGCAAAATAGGTCCCTTGCATTTCTTCTAATTATTACTTCTACAGCTGAAAGTTTATGTTGTTATGTCTGTAACATACAGTGTGGAGTGTTTTAAATAAGGCATAAGTAGCGTATTAAACTTGTGGTAATTCTTGGTAAAATTCTTTTGACATTGTTGGCAGGCGGAGGAAAGGCATATTCAGGTACTTGGCTATCTGATGTACATTGCCAAAGTCATCGCGAAGCAGGAAGGATTAGAAGATGGCTATAGGGTTGTCATCAACGACGGCCCCAGTGGATGTTAGTATCATTTCCCATGTAACTTGCAAAAAACTAACAAAATATTTCACTAGAGGTTCATGGTAGTTTTCTGAAATTTATCTCAAAATATATTTCCCTCCTATATGAAATTTAGAGACCTCATTATGAAATACCTCATACTCTTATTTCTTATCAAGAAGTGGTTCTCAATAGAATTTTCGTTTTCTTTGTCAGGCCAATCTGTGTATCATCTTCATGTTCATCTGCTTGGAGGGCGACAGATGAACTGGCCTCCTGGTTAATGAATTTTCATTTGATTTTGTTTTGTCCATAGGTAAGACATCTGTAGTCGATAAAGCTATAGGAACTATCCTTCAGACTTTCTATGTTCCCTAAGCATGAACACTAGTGCAATGTTCTTCATGAGTGAGCCACCCTTATCTTCTTTTTTGTGTCTTCTATGTTTATTTTTCATGAAGGATCTTGTATTGAATTAAATAACAAATTTGGTTAAGTTAGTTATTTGTCTATGACATTTTGGATGAAAGCCCTTGTCGTTCTTTTTCTTGTTGTCATGAGTTAATCATGTGGTTCTACTAATTCTTAAGATTTAGCGGGATCACGCTGCCATCTGAACATCGTTACCATATCTAGAGAGAGGGAGAGGGAGAGGGAGAGGGAGAGAGAGAGTAATGCAAATCAAATTGTGGACGTTTCCAGGAATACAAGCAGGAATCGTTTAAACTGTCAAAATGTTTATTTGTATGTAGACGCTTAACAGGCAACCCATAGAGAAATGATGTTTAGAACTTGTGTTGAAGCCGCCTCCATCAATTGATATATCCATGATTCGAATCGAGTCAAAAGAAGCGACTCAGTGATACGTGATTTTGAGGAGGAGAGCGAGTCAACATAAGCAACGGACTAGCAATTTCAGGTTTTGAAGAGGACTGCCTGTAGGCTATGTTTTCAGTGCTTATAGACAGCGTGAAGAGCTCCCTGCATTTCACAGGTTTCCGAGCACCGCCTGTAGGCTGTGCGAGTAGGTGTCTATCAGGGCGTTGTTTGATATTTCAGGAAGTTTGTTTTGTTTTGAAATCCTGTTCATAACCTTTTTTTTTCCTTCTTTTTCCCCTCTTTTTAGGGTTTTGGGTTCTGTGGGGATTCTTCCTAGTGTAACTAGGCAGTAAGTATATGGATTCCCAACTGTTATTAAGCTGATTGGATCTGAAACTGAGAGGTAGAATATAGAACCTAAAGGTTGATTCTATCAGGGTTTCAATATCTCGCATAACGTGTAATCTCTCATCTCAGTAGCACCTGTTGTTGCTTGTGGACATAGGATTTGCTTAGAATCATCTTGTGTTTATGATTATTTCGTTTTTTTTAATTCTATTCGCTCTTTTTCGTAGTGAAACCTTATCTTTATTTTTAACCAGTAACCTCTTTTCTGAGCAGTAAAACTTTATCTTTATCAGAATTCACTTGGAACCACATAAATCCCTATGTTTATGATGTTTTTCGTTTCTTTTTGGTCATCCACTTATAATTTGCAATAAGATTATGGAATTAGCATTGTACGATCAAGATTTCCTGAGAAATAACATCGAAGGAGAAACTGAACAAATAGGTATTTGTTCTGATATCGCCCACAACCCGAGCTTTCTGATGCGAGCTCTGGCATGTGAGGCGCGATCTCATTTTATTTGCTCTGAGTCCGTGGTGGGTGTAGAAGAACAAAAATGCTCCCATTTCATATTGACGGGTGTATACGTCCAGAGACCATCTCGAGGAAGCCAAAACATCCATCATCAAGAGGGTCACAACCTTAATCTTAATAAATTTATAAATGTCGAAGTTGATGGTCGTCAGTGTGTTAAAAATCTGAAAGGAAACCGGAATTAAAATAAAATTATGTGTTATCAAGTTTGCCCGTAATATGTTCTAGTAACAAGCACTGGGTAAGATGGGTTTGCCAATTTGGTATTTTGCCATTCTTCACAATTCCTGAGAAGATGTAGCTTGACGAAGGGAATTCCGTTTTTTTTTTTTATAAAATCACTTTTATTTTTTCAATAACCTGTACAATTATTCTATGGGATGAATTAGAAGAATACATGCATACTTAAGAGAAAAGCATGCACAAACAGCAAAAGCATCTGAAATTTTATGTACGTAGGTGGGGTTTGCAGGAGAGGATGGTCGAAAACAATGAGCAGGTCTCAGTTTACTCCTTGAATTGTGAGTTCATGTTTATCACTCGATCGCCCACGTATGTCGGTTGACAAACTTCCTTTCTACCCAGCGTAGCTCCCCTAATCTGACTCGGGTTCTCTGCACTCATTTAAGCTCATTACACCTTCATCTATTTATTGAAGGTGTAAGATCAGTTATTGATGCAGTGCATGCACAAACGAGGACTTCATTCCCCCAGTGTGTGTAATACAATTGTGTAAGTAGAGTCCAGCTGAACTTTTTTCGATACATCGATCGAGCATTTATTAGTTTTGGGGGGGAAAGAGAAAAAGAAAAGAAAATAAGAGAAAATTGCCACCATTTGATTAAAACTGAGATAACCACACGATCGATTTCTACAAAATCATGACAGATGAGGTGAGGGTAAGTTCAAATACCAGGAGCATAAGAGCAGGAACGGAACCTTAAAACCATTTTGGGGGGAAAAGAAGCACCAAGAGGAGCTGCAGTTTACAAATCCGACGATGAAAAAGATGCGCCATATTTGTGATGGAAACTCGTCAGCATTCTCAAGGAAAAACCAAGTGCTATCCCTATACAACCCACAAGCAACATCCTAAAGCAAGATTACTACTTGATGACCATGATACATAGCCTGAAATGTACTTTTTTGCAGAGGCAACAAACAAGAATCAAATACTGCAGGACTCAGATTTGTCGGGCATAATCATTGCGTCACTGCTTCTTCCATTCTCGTAGACCTTGACTCCATAGTCGAAGGAAGTAGGGTGTGTTTGGCAATTCTTTAAAACTGGGTCAGGTTTGATCCTAATTCAGTTTTTAGTCGGCTTTTTATTGGTTAAAATTGGGTCAGAAATGACCCGGTTTTTTAAGCCAAATTTTAGCCTCAAAACATGTTCTTTTACAAACCACTCCTCCTATGGAACATTTCTAAACCAGTTTAGCATAAAACTGGGCCAGGACCAATCTTGAGCCAACTTTCCATTGTTTGCCACCTTCGTCTACAGGATAATACATTGTGTTGTACAATATCCTGGTGCAACTGGCTACAAATTTTTGTATAAAATGCTCCCCCAAAGTCCTCGCTCCACTCATGGATATGTTTTCCTTAGGGCTTGTTTGGATTGAGGGGAATGAGGGTGAAGGGAAGTTAGGGGAACCATTCACCTCCATTCACCTTGTTTGGGAACACTTAGGAGGTGAAGTTAATTCACCTCCATTCACCTTGGTTCACCCCCTAATAGTATAAAAATTGTTACCCCCCAAATTGGGGTGTAACCAAGGGGAAGGGAATTCCCTTCCCTTCCTTTCTCTTCCCTTCCCTTCGCTTAGTTTCCCTTAACTTCCCTTCACCCCCTACGAATCCAAACAGGCCCTTAGGCGTTGTTTGCCTGCGTAAGAATTACCTCACCAAATGACAAGAATCTAGGTTTTTTTAGACATTAGTGCCTCAATCGCCAATAATTCTGTATCAGTCCCTCAAGTCATCGAAATTCTTCATAAGTCCCTCAAATAATATGGGGTCTTGCAAAGTAGTCCCTCAATGACCAAAGTGCCCTCTACTGATGTTTCCACACAAACGACCCTCAGTTTATGTTTTTGTGAACACAGGTTTTGGGGAGGAAACATAAGCTGAGGGCATTCTGATCATTGTGGAACCATTTTGCATGACCTCTAGCATCCGAGGGACTTGAGAGATTTCAAAGATTTGGGGGTCTAATATGGAATTATTGAAGTTTTGAGTAGGGGTGGAAACGAACCACATAATTAATACAAATAGTTCGTTAATTATTTGACTAACTATTTGGTCATACTCGAACCGGTGTTCATTTAACATTAAACAAATAATATTTATATTCAAATTTATTAAAGAACAAAATTTAACCATGGATATATTCAATTCATTAACTTATCAAATATTCGTTTAAAATTTCATCGCTTATAATTTGTATCATTACTTACATGATTTTATATATTCAACTTATATTTTGTGCTTAAATTCTATATATTAATTTTGAGAAACTTAAAGAATCTTAAATATGTTTTATAATGAAATATTCAAATTAAATATATATGCATCATAACTATTAAGAATAATTTTCATTATAAATTTAAACACTATTTAAAAATTAAATTCTTTAGCACAATGAATATACTTTGACATTCGATAAATATTGGTGAATATTCATGAATTTTATTAAATAATGCGTACTCGAGTTCGAATTCGAAAAACTTCAAACAAGGATATTTGAATTTGGGTTCAAATTCGCACAAATACAAAATACGAACATCTCAGTATCTGATTCGATTCGTCCATTTACCACCCTTACTTTTTAGGGTCAAGTATCTAGAAAACATAAATATTTAGAAACGTGAAGGCTGTCCCGCTCATGGAAGACTTCGCTCTATTTCTCACTTCGCTCTGTTTCTTACTATCTCCAGTAAATCAAAGTTTGAATCATACCCGAATGACTGCCCCCAAATTAAGCAACATGTCATCATAATTGATTGGTACATGTGCTAAATCTATCAGCCAGTGACCGAAAAGACAGTTTATTCGATATAAGCTTCAAACTTTGTCCTGATCACAAAGAAAAATATTCACATGAAACACCACATAAAATATAGGGACAAACTTTTTGAAAACACTCATTTTTCAACTTTAAATAGCAAAATGGACCGTTTCTAAAAAAACAGCAAAACCGACCCTTTTCAAATGGAAAAAGGTCGGTTTTGCTGCGGAAGAGGATTTCGAAATTCCGGGACTACTAGTCCTGTGCATTTTGTTTTCTTTTCATTTCGAAATGCACGTGGGTCTCGCAAGCCTAGGCATGACGCGCCACCGGCTGCAGCAATCATTCCTGTCCCCGCTCTCTATCTCTCTCTTTCTCATCCTCAGATTCTATTCATCATCAAACAAAGAGAGAGAAAGAAGAAATGAGACAGGAAAAAATGATGACCACATCAGAGCTCGAGGACCACATCAGAGCACGGGTCTTGCCTGGCGATCGCGGGCGACGTGACCTCCTCTGGGGGAGCGGCGACAGCGGCTGCGAGGGGCGCGCAGCGGCGGCAGGCAGAGGGAGGGGTTGTTACGCGCGGGGAGACGAGGAAGGAGGAGGGGTCGTCGGGGAGGAGGAGCTGAGAGGGGCTGGGGGGAGCCGAGGAGGGGGAGGGAAGCGCGACCGAGGAAAGGGGATGGCCTGTGGGGCGAGGTGAGGGGAGAGCCTGGTCCACATGGAGGAGCTGGCCCATGCAGTCGAAGTGCACGAAATGAAAAGAAAACGAAACGCACGGGATTAGTAGTCCCGTGCATTTTTAAAAACTCCTCCACAGCAAAACCAACCATTTTCAATGAAATGCACGGGACTACTAGTCGATTTTGCCGGGTTTTTTTCAAAAACGGTCGATTTTACCATATAAATTTAAAAATTTGGTGTTTTTAAAATTTTGTCCTAAAAGATACTAAAACCACCACGGGACATCATCCTAACTCCCAGCATCCAAACACCCACAACGCACAAAATCAAAACATTGCCATCCTTGCTGCAGCTCTAGGAAGCTACCCAAACCAACCCGGACGTGCCAACATCTGCACGTAACACCAGCAGTCCACCAGATGACAATTGCCAAATAAAATGATGCACAGGTACATTTCACTAACAAGCATGATATCCTTTACTTGCCTACATGAGAAGTGTCTTAACAAGTACAAGGAGAACATCCTTCTCTACATAATTAGCCAAACAACTTTCCTGTAGCAGCATTACCGGCAACTGGTAAATCTTCGAACCTGATTTGTGTTTGGTACGAGGTTTTTAAAGGGATGTACAATGAGGTGGGGTGAGGGAAAGAACGCCATAAAATTGAACTAAAATAATTAGAGAGAGAACCCCCCGAACCGGGAGGAAACTAGAGGAGAGAAAAAATGAACTACAAAATAATGTGCCTTTCTCTCTTCTCCCCTCCAACCAAACATGAACCATGTGTTTGGATGGAGGATAGAGAAGGAAAAGGGAAGAGAAATTTGAGTTTAACATTGTTTGGGAGTTTTATTAGAAGGGTAGATGAGGGAAATGAGGGGAAATTTTACACTAAAATCTTCCACTCCAAATTGGAGGGTAAAAGAGAGGAAGAGAAAATTGACAAGTTCCCTTCATTTCCTTACCTTCTCTTCTCTTCTCTTCTCTTCCCTTAGCAAGCTCACAAACACAGCAGAAGGCTTAAAAGGGATATTTATCCTCCCACCCATTGCACCTTCCCACCTCATCTTCCCTCCTCGAACCCTGCACCAAACAAAGCTAGCAAAGACCAAAAAAAAAATCCTATTTATATTGTTGAGCCAATTAGTGGACTCCACAAATTTTCACTTATGAAAACTACTGTAAAAGATATTAAAGATTCAAGTCCATATTTGTCAAATGTGAAGTTCACGCCATGAAAATTTCTACTAAGTGAAAGGCAGCTTCATATTCATGAAAAGACCATCAACTGCAGATTTTTAATTATCATGCATCAGGTAATATAAAACATATGCCTTTCAATGCATATTTGTGGTTAGATAAACTATCTTGTAGAGGCGCTTAATAATTTAAGCCCTTTCTTTGTCATTTTCGGTGCCATAGATTGGACTGTGGAAGCGAGGGCTCACATTTTGAATACAGCTTAAACTTTACCATAACGTCTAAGTCTCAGACCTATCATATCATCACTATCAATTAGTCATACAGCACAAATTTACACTCACAAAGTTAAGATTATGGACTATGCATGTAGTCGCATCTGATGCACCATATAATTTATATTTGAATAACGCAGCTACAAAGATTTGTTACACCCTTTGTCTTATGGCATATATTGGTCCCTAAAGTGCATCTTTGTTTGCTTCTACATCCATCATCAGTAAACATCGGTAAAGATGTACATTTAAAGAAATGCTATGTGGTTATATGTGCATGTTGGGAAGCAGATGACTAGACCAACCTAGGTTACTGCTTTAACAGAAGCGTCAACAAGAGGATACCCAGCGGGCACCCAATGTTTCAAAAAGCCTTGGACGCTTCTAAGTGCCAGACCTGGCACCCAACACGACCCTATATCCTATGTTTTACCGATTTGTCATGTGTTGTATCTACCCCGACCCCAACCCATCCCCACCCAAAAAAAAGGCCTTTTTAAGACACAAGTATATCCATGTGAGTGAATTTTTAGATGTGAAAGAAGAGGATAGCCACTCGCCCAAATTAAAACATATCTATGGTTAAGTATCCACAAGCTCAAACCCCATAGGATCTGGACATATGGACAATTTTAAGGAAATAAATATTTGCTTGAAGAAGGGATTATCCTAAATCATGCATGAATAAATCCAGGTAATAACTTCTCAAATGGATGATCTCTGGCCTCTTTAAAAATTCTTTGACCACCTTTGCCTAGATCTACCATTTAAAAGAATATAAATGTAACAATATTCCAACGCTATGCCACGCTACATATCTACAACACCTTTCTAGGAAGGTAATAGAATTCTTTGACCAAAAGTTCTGGTTTTTTTTCAGGCGTATAGTTTGCTCGCGTGCGTGTTATGAATATGTAACTAACCAAAACTTCAGAGATTGCAACAATAGAGCTAGTAATGTTTTTGTGATGCTGCTTCACAGCTAGAAGATTATGCCATTATACATTATACCAACCCATATATAAATTAGTTCTTTTAGTAGCAGGTTTCACTTCATGGCCGACAACAATTTGTTAGAGATTAAACATCATCTATGAACCAACATGTCTTTTCTATAAAAAAGAGAAATCTGAGAAGTGAGATTATAGCTAAATTACATAAAAAAATAGATCAAAACTGTAGGCCAAATGTACAGCTCTTTCAGTATGCACTGATGGGGATGGGGACTAAAGGATCCATTTACTATGTCAGCAAAATGAGCAACTTGGATGAACTTGAAAATTTTGATATGTTATATGAATGTGGTTTAATCTTCCCAAAGTTTATGCCTCATAACTAATAAGAAGAACTAAAAGTTAAGGCTCCCATGGGTCTAGTACTATAGAAGGAACCCCAAACAGTACTTTATAGAAATAAGCCTAGATCAAACTCGGGCAAATAAGAAAGCTGTGAATTTACTGCAAACAATACACACAACGGTAATAATAAGACTGAGCAAGTGTGTACATGCAAGTTAAACAATATATCTGTCTGATTCAAACAGTAATAGCGCCTTCTAAATTTGACACCAATGAATTGCTACTTCTCCACATATATCACAAGCCATCATTTATCACTCCAAATTACCAAATATCAGTCACATTACTAACATTGCAAAACATGTTACACCACTATAAAAATTGAAGTAACATAAATTCACTTTATTCTTAAATGATCCGTTCATTCAAATCATAAAGCCAGAGCATAAAACCAAACCTACATCCTCACAGTCCCTCATTATTGATATATTATGTAAGTTAATATAATACACCCCTTCTCAGGAAGCACGCTCTTTATACTGCACTCCCCTAGCAGAGCCTAAGCGTTCCTCTTCGCGATGTCCAAATTTTCATTTCTAAACTAAAACCAAGTTCAGAAAACAAACCTCAATTGCTTGACCGCTCATCAACCCCGCTATCCGTTATCGCATTCTCCACAATCAAGCTCTCCTCCACCTCAGCCTTCTTCTCCTCCACCTTCTGAGACCCCGTCATCCTCGCAAGCAACACAAACGACATCCCACCAAGTACATTGTTCAAGCACCTCAACCCAACAACCGAAACCTTAAACCCAGCCGGAGGCAACACTTTCCCCAACACAAACTCCAACCCATTCAGCGTCTGGTACCTCAAATTGCTACTGATTCCCATATGCGCAGCCCAAGTCATCGCGTTCAGCAACGTGGGCGGCGGCTTGTTGGGGGACACAAACTCCGGGTCCATCTTCTTCCTTAACGTGATCAGCCCATTGGTGATTGCAGTCCCCACAAGCCCAGCGGCGAACCCCACAGCAGCAAACGTGGCTCCTTTATTGATCAAAGTGGCGATTCTTGATGAGAGAGCGTAGGATCCAGGCTCGAAAATGTAGGAGGGGAGGGAGGAGGCGGCAGCGCTGGCAGTGGAGGCGACGGCGGTGGGGGCGAGGAGGTACATTAGCGTGAAGTTGAGGATCGATCCGACGACGAGGGTGGAGAAGACGAAGTCGAGCTCGTTGAGGCCGAAGTTAGGGCGAGTGGCC